ATAAATTTCTAAAAATATCAATGAAACCTTTTTGCAGTTTTCCACATCCATAGTCATTGTGTTTGCTGAATAAGATTCTTCATATTTTTCTTCTTTAAATGTCTGAATATGAAAATAACCACAAGTTCCTTTCCTTTTAATAGTAAAACTATTGGTAATGCTTTGTTAAGCTTGAATTTGCTAGTGACTGTGGTCGCAGATGCCTACTGCAGCTTGCTTGGCGGCGCATCATCACTTACTCTCTCCCCCCCTGAAAATCCGTCTATGCCTATGGACCCAGGTCGAGTCTTGAATATGAATGTTACTTTGTAAAAGTAAAAAACTGCTGTATTTGTTTATTCGAAACACGTTACCTCCTCTTCTGTATCCAGTGTTGATCCTTCGACCTTCTTATTAACTTCTTCTTTATGCTTTTCTCTGCATAGTCTGCATATACCTATTATGTGAATGCATAAAATCTTATGGTGTTTATTATTAATCAAAATTATTTAATTACGAATATCATTATAAAACCTATATTCCTAAACTGTTGAAAATATATCCTTTAGACCACAAAATATCAGTTAGACGTAAAAAAAATATCTGTGGTTCCGGTTCCCGACCGACCCTATTTTTTTCTGCCGACCCTATTATTTTTTCAACTCGATTGACCGTGCAACCCTATTTTCTCCGGGTGGTTGCGGGTTGCTGCCAAAATGGCGTCTGTTGTCACACTAATTATTGAAAAAACCATGAAAAAAATATTAAAAAAAAATTATTTCCGACCTACCGACCCTAATTTTTTTGCGACATGAAACCGGAACCACAGGTATTATTTTTACGCCTTAGTAAGAGTGCTGGTGTTTGTAAGTTAGATGTCGAGCACTTGTTGCTATTGGTAAACTACTGGAAGTTCACAGGGAGATAATTATGTTGTTTTAGACTTTAGTAAAAATTACAAAAAAGCGAATAAAACGTTTTTACCACGTATCGAACCAGACTCCAGAGCATACGGCACGCAGTAGTTGGAATCTCTACCACTAGAGCCAATCCCAAGGACTGCTGTGAGCGTAACCGAAATAAAGACTATTTATATTTTTCTTTAATCTATCTTTTTTTTCGTACTTCGCATGTCCTAATAATCATGTAATTACAACCAGGTTGGATGCTCTCACTTCCTTATGAGTTATGGCGTTCAAGCTGCACCATCCTAGACTTAGTGAGAACTATCAACAATTCTTTGAATTCATTTTACCCGTGCAATTATATGCTGCAAAAATTAATAATTATAATTTATATTAATTTACGACAAATTGAAAAGATCACTTACCAGAACCAACTGAAACAAACCTTTCCCAAATGTCATTAATTTCCATTGACATTTTCTTTGTAACACCCCTCTCTGGTTTTGCCTCCGAGGATCCGTGAAGAGGGTGTGCGCACCCACGTTTTGGGCGCCAGGAAAGACCAAGATTCTCTCTGTGTCGTGGACATACTGTTAACCCCTCCCCGTTGCTACCAAATATGCCCGATCTTAATAGAATAAGATCGCCTTCTGATGCTACTGCTTGTCTAGATAAGTTTAAACGCCGGAGATGCACTTGTATATCTCTTTTACATGCTAATATTGGCATACACTCCTTCATAGAAGGGTATCTCGAGCAAAGACCACAATCAGTTTCAAGCCTTTGCCCAACTGAACATTTAACAACCTTTGGTGTTCCTGGTAGCATGTTTTTCTTTCTTTGTAAACTACATTTCTGTTTTCCTATATATATTGACGAACACGTGAAGTTTACAACTCGTGAGGAAAGCCGCTGACCGGGAATATATTTTTCCAAGATGGCGGCCCCTTGTTTTGATTTGTTCATTTCAACAAATGTCAGTTCTTTTAAAGTAGTTTGCTTGCCTTGAGATAACCATTTCTTTTTTATTTCAACCACAGTTATCAACATTAGTTTAATAGCAAAGGAAAACATTGGCAAAGATATGTAAATATAAAAATTATGTATTTCAAAATACATCGAAAGGCTGTTGTAGACTTGTAGTATATAGGTAGTATAATAAATGGTCATAAAACTACCCTCGCACTGCTTCGAGTATCAGAACAAATCTTCTATGTGAGTATTATTTTTACGTTTTTCATGTTTTAAATCTATTTTTATAAAGAATATCATATTTATATTGTTTTTACTCGCCTCTGTTATTATGTGCAAGATACATTAATATATTATTCAATTTTTCTTCTATTCCTGCTTGTAAAACTTGCTCATTATTCTTTTGTCAGATAATTCAATGTTGTTTAATGACATTATTTGCATGTCTGATGAGTAATTGTATACGGACTTTACAGTTAAGCAGTTTGTTCTGTGTTATGAATTTTTTTAACATTATGCAAATGTTCAACATAGGGTATATTTGTTGCCTGGCCGTGAGAAATGTATTAAATATCCCCAAATTTTTGTTGTTGTTTAACCAAGTGTATGGATAGCTTTTAATAACTGTGTGTCAATTATACTTCAATCAAGTTGTTCAATGGAGATATTCGCTCTCAAAATGGTCCAAAAAAAAATTTAACGAAAAATGGAAAAAACGTCTCTTCTTTTTGGTGTTGCCATGACAACCAGCCCTAGTGGATGACATAAACAATTACATATTATGAAGGTCGGGTGTCTTAGTTTAGCAGCCGAAATATCATTTCATTTGAGTGTGTTTTTATAATTTTATAATGTACTAAATATTACTTAGCAAAGGGCATTTTTGGAGCCGTAAACGACCCAAAATCATGGGGGGTGGATAATTCCGTTACCGTGCAATATTTTTACCTCAAACTTTTATCAGATCAGATACTTAATATCCTCTATATATGTGCCAAATTTGAGCAAATTCTGTGAGTTGACGTTTATCACCACTTGCAGGGTTCTGCATGGTTCTTACATGGACACACTCTTAATACATACGAGATGGGTCATTGTAGGATTGCTATAAGGTTGTTGTAGGTGGTTGTAGCGTTGTTGTAGCGTCGTTGTAGGTGGTTGTAGATCGTTGTAGCGTCGTTGTAGGTGGTTGTAGGTCGTTCCTTACTTTAGTACCTACAGTAAATAATTATATGAAATAATATATATTAAACATCCGAATGCTTTTAAAGATATGTTTGCATTTTAGTACTTCAATAAGGATTGGAATCAACAGCATTTAATGTGATATTTTTAGTGTATCGATAATTGATCTTTAATGTGCTCAAGTGTCCTCTATACTGTATTGCATTACTCTGTCTAAATTGCAAGATGATTTTACTTGTCAAGGGGAGAGTCTTTTAATAGTGGGTTTATAAAGAGCTTCACTTGTATAAAGTGATGTTTGCAATGATAGTGCTGAGACAGTGCCTCAAATGTTGTCTTTGTATATTTCTAGATTACTTTTTGAGCTGGGCAGTGCTTGTATGTAGCCCTGGCTCCAAATATTGTTCTCAACAATCGGCAAATATAACCAGATTCACTAACAATAGTCCATAGTTTATTTAATATGTGCTTTATCACTTTATATATTAAGCATAAATATCTGTGGCATGGCATTGATAGTTTTGGATGGCCTATATTTTCCGGATGCCAGTAACCCAATCCAGCATATCCCTACTCTCTGCCCACAGCCATGTCTCTGCTTAACATACTATACATATTACAACTTGAAAGATATTATTTGCACTTCACTTGGTTGGACTAGAATTACTGGGTTTGGATAATCCAATATACAGCTAATTCAGAAAAGGTTGTCCTTTGCAAACCTTAAACTCCAAACCTTAAACCTTAAACTCTAAGCATGCAAAGCATAATGGGAGCATCATTTAATCAGTCATGGGCCCATTTCTTAGAGATATGGTAAATATTTCCTTACGAAGACAATTCATTCACAATTTTAAGCTGCAGTATTCAACTACTAAGCTTGAAACTTGTGCTCCCATAACTTTGCTCGCTTAGAGTTTAAGATTTAAGGTTTAGAGTTTAAGGTTTGCAAAGGACAACCTTTTTCGAATTAGCTGTATAATATATAGACACTATTGAATTAAGACCTATAACCAGGAATGATTGCGAAAAATGTAACATTAAATCTTCAACCAGGAATTGAACCTACAGCCCTATGCTTCCGGAGCAGTGCTCTACCCAACTGAGGACCGGAATCGCAGGACCATGGGTTTGATTACTGCCAGATATTACACCCTGCTACTACATATTACACCCTGCTACTACATATTACACCCTGCATTACCTTGTACCAATATGAACAGTCTTTGTAATTCATGGTGATTATGACAATAAACTATGGAAATTATCTTATATATAAAGGATAAGTCTTATTATTATTTATTTAAAAAATTTCTGGTTTCTGACTGTGAAATTGTGATATCAATTCGGCGGTTAACCAAATATGGATTTTTCACATTCATATTAGGGACCAGTCATAAAGTAATTACTAGAGGGGGGTGGAGGATAAATGAAATTTCAAGTACATATTTCCATACCCTCCCAAAAACCTATCGAGAAACTTTCGTAACCCCCTTCAATGTAAGTGAAAATTTTCATACCCCCTTGTTTTAACATTTGTCTATATTTTGAAACTCTCCAGTTTGTGATAACTGTCTCCGATTCGTCACCATAGGCTTTTCTGTTTCTGATTCTGACATAGTAGCAATGGTCCTCATGAGGGTAAGAACAAACAGAAAAATTTGTTTTTCGTTTATTTCAAACAGAAAAAATGTGCTTCCATTCAATGTGACACTTTCTCATCAGGTTCTAATGGTGTGAGCTTGCTAGCATTGACAATTCAGATGTATCAGATTTGTTCTCCGAAAGTTCCACAGTTACTGAATCCTACTTATCATCTGACATTGAGTCAGACTGAAACATATATACTTTGAGTTGATTTAATAATTATAGTAAAAAAGATGAATGTAGAGAGACCCTTTGAAATTGCTGTACCTATAGTACTATGAGTATGTTTATTTACCCTAATCACTATAAATGTTTAAGTTATTAACTGCTCTCAGAGTACATTATAGGATACATTAAAAGCTTTAGAAAAACAAAAGCATGGCTGCTATCAATACTGACACTCGTTATCATATTTAAAAAGCTGGGCACAAATACATTTAATATTCAACACTAATTATAAAATATAATTTTTTCCTGTACCTATATAGTACTAAGATTTTGGTACCCCCCTAGAGGTTCTGTTGTTTTTCTCGTACCCCCTCAGAGGTTCTGGATTTTTTTGTACCCCCCAAAAATATCCTCCACACCCCCTAATAAATACTTTATGACCGGTCCCTTAGCAAAATCACATCAAAGAGTCGATATGAAAAAAATTTGGACGTGTTTGTGCCATATTACTATGACGATGAGATTTACAGGTCTGAAATTTGCAGTATCCCGATATCCACAGGATGCTAAAATTTGGCTTTGGAAACCAAACTGTGAATGACTTATATCCCAATTGGATACTAAAAAAATTTCAATCATTGATAGCTTTTGAATACTGTCTATGAATTTGCCATCCAAGTCTTTCCTCATATAATGTGCATTTTTGTGTATTAATGAATTGTCTAGTTCTTGACAACTTGACTGTTGAATCTCCTGTTGTTATTGTAATTTGTAACAGCAAGAGTTATTGGATGGGACAGGGTATAATACTTATGGTAACCAGTATCCAGAAGTGGGATACTGCATTCTCAGGGGGGATACTAAACTTTGAATCCTGGTATCCCAGTTGGATACTGAAAAGATATTTAAATTGCAGACCCTGCAAGAATCATATCAACTCGCTGACGCCATTGACATGATGACGACGATGACAGCTGCTGAAGGACTAACTAGGAATTGTTTTTTTTCTTTATACAAATAAAATACAAATGGCTTCCGTTTGTTTTGAATTTTTTAAATAAATAATAAAACTATTATTGAATTTGGTTTTCACACAATATGAAGAATTATCAAGCCCTCAGTTTGCCATTATCAACCTCAGGCTTTGGTTGATAATGGCAAACTTTGGGCTTCATAATTCTTCATATTGTGCTCAACCTCATTCAATAATTGTTAAATATTAATTAAAAACTGTTTTTACATCAAGAGTTAATAGTCCCTTATAACTGACTGAGGAGTGTCTCAGTTTAGGATGCAAGTCCATTGTTCTAGTTTTTTATAGGGTATAATTTACTAATTATGATTATACTTTCAATAAAGTTTACCTGTTACAGATTCCAATATGATGGATCTCTGGTGGCATTTGCACGCTGGTGCTTGGAGCAGTATTTAATGTACATGAAGAAATCAATAGACTTGAACAAATGGTTTGTTAGATCATAATATTGATTATGAAGTGAAAAGTGTTATAATACGGCTTTGTGAGAAATTCTATTCAGCACAACACATTGCTGTGCAATCAGAACTAAACATAGTTGTGTATAAGAATGACAGAAAATAAAACTTATGTCGTGCATACAGAATTTTCTATTTTTTAAATACATAATATAGGTAATATAATATAGTAGAATTTTATGTCTAAAAATTTTCTAAAAGTAACAAAATATAAGAAACATTTCTTAAACTGAGAACAATGAAAAATGTCATAAGTTAGAAAGAAAAATAGCCTAAATTAGTATGTTATTTGTAAATATAGCCTGTTATATTTGCCACATTTTTATCTGTAATAAAATGTTTTTTCACTAGTTGTTGCTCTTTTTCCTTCACCTTGGTAAATAACTCTTTTAGGTAGTTTGATTTAGAGGATTATGCAAGAATTTCTATATGATCCAATATGAATTTCTATGTAAATCTAAGGAATTCCTATTAGATTTTGGTCCAATTTCCTATAGGATCCTATAGCAATTCCTATAGGATCCTATAGGAATTCCTACAGGATCCTATAGGAAATTGGGCCAAAATCTAATAGGAATTCCTATAGGATTTTTTCGTAAGGGAAAGTTCAAGTAGAAGTGAATAAGCATTTTATACTACCTTTAATTCAACGTTTGGGCCAGGATGAGTTGACTCAACCTGGAAGATTTTTATTCAATCCAATTCCAGAAGTCTTGGAAGTGTTTATATATGTTCACAATATGGTTGAAAAATTGTTTAAAATGAACTTGGCAAAGGTGCTGACAAAGACATTCTAAAGAAATGTTTGAGGTTTTTAAGTGACGATCCAAACCTACGTAAAATGTGGCAAAAATCACTTGGGAGTGAGGATAATGAAACTTTTCGTGCTGGTTCTGTGAATTCAAACGTAATGGCGACCGGTCATGACTTAACTAACAGCGTTGAATCTCAACAAATACAGCTCGAATATAAACTCTCCGAGGCCTACTTTACGTTTAAAGAGTTTATAGAATGCAGTAACGATGGAAAGGTGAAATGGCTGAGCAATTTAAATGATTTAAAAGCGTTTATGTCCGCGCTATTCGGCGATGTCGGCAAGTGGAGTTCGCCCGGTGGCAGTGCTAAATCATATCGGAATGATTTAATATCTATTAACTGGTATACACACAAGAAAGCACTAATCTTCCATGATCGACTAGGAATCGTACTAAAGAACAAACTAATTGATCTGAGTGTAAATAAAATATCAGATCCTGACGAATACAATCAATTAAACGATCCAGAAGGTGACAAAGATTGCATAGCTTGCAGTTGTTTCTCATTAGATATGATGGAAATAAAGTCAGACCTCAAATGAACACATTAATGAAAAATCTTTATCACAAATCTACTCCAGCGAAGCGCTGTTCCACCGATCATTTTTGTTGTGTAAATACATGTGAAGTGGGCATTTAAATGGACATCGAATTCACTCAATATCCTAACCAGAGCGGAGAGCGTTGTGCAAGCATGTGTAATGATTTGTCGACTGAATTCGAGGGCTTAAAACTCGATTTGGTGATTTCCGAGTCCAAGATTGATAACAAAATTTGAATCAATGGCGATGCAATAAATCAAGTTCAGGCAGAATTCGCCATTATTAAAAATCAGCTCGGTGAAGTTGTTCAACAGGTCGATCGTTTAGTTAACACAAACGAGAACAACAACACCAATAACAATAATATTGCAGAAAGTATTGTTAGAACAGCTAATGAGAACAATAGTCTTATCAATACTATCGAAACACTATGCAAAGGGCTGAAAACTATGATAGCCTTGTGTAATGCAAATTTTATTAATCACTCAGATCAACCAAGCGTCTCACCAATTTCAACACTTGACCAAACTAACATCACCCCGTCAGCAACAGAACCTAATCAACAACAGCTGCATCAAATCCTAAATCCCTCTGCCGTTTGTAACTTTCAGGACAAATCATGTATAGAATCTTTCATCACAGTTAAGGAAGCCAGTATAACATCAGAGGCTCTTAGCCTTGATAACACCCTATTGAATTCCTATCCCAATGTCATATCCATTTCGGATGATCAACAAGCCGGCTTATCCTCACCAAATGGAAATTCCACCACAGTCGAAGAGATCGTTACAGGCATTAACCAAAATTATAATCCGTCGACTATGCTCCCATCGTTCGACGATCAATTGAAGGAATATCGTACTAAGCACTCTCACACCGACAGAATGATAGTTGTCCATAATAATTCTGGAATAACACACCAAAAACCTACAAGGAAATCAACCCGAAACCGGAAAACACCAGATCTAGTCATCAAATCGAAGCGATGCAATTATATACCACAACCCATATCACATACAGATACCTCTGCATATAACCCGAAAATTTTTCGGAAGAATTGCTCTTCAAATCGGCCGCCGGACTGGGGAAACTACCTGATCCTTGTAAACAAATTAACACAGAAAACAGAATTAAGTCAATCGACAAGAATTTAAGTTCGAACATCGTTACTATTAATGCCAAGGCCACCTTTAATATACCTAATAAAATAATCCCCAATCGTCGCATACACAAACCCCATACCAGAATCCCAATGAGTAATCGTACGCGAAATGTTCATAACGTAATCTCATCACATAACCATAGTAAGATTACCTCCCACCGTCCATTTCATAAACAAAATCGTACTCGGAATAACAATAATCTCATTAAAATCTATCCCAATAAAAATCCGCATAACACAGGTGTTAACGCCTTGTCACAAAATAATCCATCTCATGTTCCCAAGGTGATGGTAACTAATGTGAGGTCCTTAGTTCCAAAACTAGACAAAGTACAAGAATTCCTAATTCGGAATGACATTAATTTTGCATTTATTACCGAGACATGGTTAAAAGAGTCAATTGCAGCAAGCATAATTAACATTCCTGGTTACACTGTATTTCGCAGAGGTAGGAAAAATGATGATCATGGCGGTGTACGTGCTTATATTCGAACTGAAAAATGTAATTACAGACAAATGGACGAATTAAATTGCTGTGAGAATCACGAGATCTTGTGGCTTTACTTATGACCTGACCGCTTACCTGGGGTTTCTCATGTATAATTGCAGGATTGATGTACCACCGACCCAGTGGTAATGCAAGTTCGATCTGTGACCATCTGTTCAACTCACTCACAATGGCCGAATCCAAATACCCCAACTGTGGTATATTAGTTACTGGTGATTTTAACCGCCTAAATATTAATCGTTTATTAAATCACTTTCGCCTTAAGCAAATAGTAAAAGTACATACGAGGAAAGATGCTATTTTAGACCTCATGTTAACGAATATGCATATGTACTTTTGTGCACCGAAAGCATATGCACCTTTCGGTCTGTCTGACCATAATACTATTGTCGCAGAGCCTAATGTCATAGCGCCAAAAGGCAACAATAAGAAAGTAATAATAAGACGGGACTATCGGGCAAGTCGTAAAGCTGAAATGGGAAGATATTTGAGCCTGTTTGATTGGTCACAGTTGTTTGCTCCCTTGGATAGTAGTGAGTAAAAGTGGTTGGTTTTCCATGAAGTAATACACAATGGGCTTAACTTATTAATGCCGGAAAAAACATATGGAGGTCAGCACTGTTGATGCACCATGGATGAATAAGAAATTAAAGACCCTGATTGCCAAAAGACAAAAGGCGTTTAATAAGAATGGAAACAGTTCCCTTGATTTTAAATACTACAGGAATTTAGTCAACCGTGAAAGAAAGGCATGCAGAGGGAAGTATTATGAATCAAACATACAACATCTTAAGGGTGAGAACCCTAAGAGATGGTGGAGTGAAGCGAAACGTTTAAGCGGTATGAAAGAAAAGAACAGCGATCTGTCCAGTCAAATAAAAATCGACAAGTTCTCTAACTTTCCACAACGTGAACAGGCAAATATCATTAATACAGCTTTCTTGGAGCCCATTGAGGAGTACAGATTGGTCCTGACAGGTCCTAACTGTGACAGAAATGCACGTAGAGAAGGCCCTAACAAAACTTAACCCTGGAAAAGCATCTGGTCCTGATAACATTCCAAATTGGCTCTTAAGAGATTATTCCAGAATTGTTGCTCTCCCAATTATGAATATTATTAATACTTCATATTGTGAACAGCAATTGCCTGCATGCTGGAAGATGGCAGATGTATCACCACTGCCCAAGAAGAAGCCGGTTAAGGACCTAAAGAAAGATTTAAGACCAATCTCGTTAACCCCTAGCGTATCCAAGGTTGCGGAGGGGTTTGTGGTTGAGGATTACATGAAGCCTGCCATTTTAAAAGTTATCGACCCAAACCAGTACGGAACAATCCCGAATTCATCTACTACTATCGCGCTAATTAATATGTTACATCACTGGTTTTTAGGAACAGATGGAAATGGCTCAACCATTAGGACAATTCTGTTTGACTATCATAAAGCATTCGACTTAATCGACCATAGTATACTGATTGATAAACTAAGCAGATTGGATTACCTCCAAATGTTATAAACTGGATAATTGATTTTCTCACAGATAGATTTCAAAGAGTTAAATTAGCTGATGATTGTTTTTCGGAGTGGGGATCAGTCCCTGCAGGAGTACCACAGGGAACTAAGCTAGGCCCGTGGCTGTTTGCTCTTATGATAAATGATTTAATCATTGATGATGCACATACCTGGAAATACGTAGACGATACGACAGCGTCCGAAATTGTCAGTAAGGGGGGTACTAGTGATGCCCAAAATATAGTTGATCAAGTGGTTACATGGTCTAGTAATAATAGAGTACAATTAAATCAAGACAAGTCTAAGGAATTGAGAATATCGTTCGCGAATCAACCAGCAATCTTTGATCCATTAACTATTAATGGGAAAGAACTGAAGTTGTTAAAACAGTAAAGCTGCTAGGACTCACTGTCAAGGACAACCTTACTTGGAATTCTTATGTGGACGAGGTTATAAAGAAAGTGAATAAAAGATTGTACTTTTTAGTGCAATTAAAACGGGTGAGAGTTCCACCAGCTGTTCTATATGTCGTGTGTCAGGTCAGTTGTGGATTACGCGATTCCTGCCTTTTACCATTGTCTCCCCCAATATCTGAAGTGTGAGTTAGTGCGTCTCGAGAAAAGAGCTATATCAATTATTATGCCGGAAGTTGACTATCTAACAGGTTCGGAACGATTAGAAATTAAGCCCATGAAGGATCATCATGAATATTTATGTGACAAACTTTTTAAGTCTATTATTCTTAATCCTGATCACAAACTTAATAGCTTATTACCAGCAAGATATAACACGAATTATAACCTGAGAACCCAAAGGAACTTCAACCCCCCACAAATCATGACTAATACAACAATGAATTCCTTTATCTTCTCTATGTGTAGCGCATGAAACTTGATGTTTATTTATTGGATGTTCGTATACAATTATTAGTGTAAATTAGCCTTCTAAACTTTTTATCGTAATTACTATTATAATAGTCATACAATTGTTAGAGTAAAATACACATACAATTATTAGAGTAAATTAACCTTTTAAACTTTTTACTGTAATCACTATTAAAATAGTAAATGATTCATGTAATATATCAAATTTTCTTGTCCAATTAGCAAATTGTAAATTATGCAATTCAGCTGTAAAGCTGCGATGTAATTATTTTAATAAATCCAAATCCAAATTGTCACAATGTTTTTGAAGTCAAAACAAAACAGCAAATCATCAGAGAACAGCTACAACTGAAGGTTAACAAAAGGACAAAAGCCAAAGGAAAAATTTTATAAACCTATTGAATGTCTTGTAGCATTTTGTGGAAATCTGACAGACACTTCTTCAGTAATGGCATTTTTGAATGATGTTTTTCTTAAATCTGAACCTTCTACCATACTTGCAAAATTGCATGGAAATGAACTTTCTGCAATATTACAGTCACTGGGCTTGCCAGGCGCGGATCCAGCCTAAAACCCTGACCGTGGCAAATTCGAAAACCGCGCATAACTAGGGGGGTCCGGGGGTATGCCCCCCCGGAAATTTTTTGAAATTTGAACCCCGGAAATGCCATTTCCTGAGTTCTGAGCACCGTATTCTATCATATAATTCGTAATTAATTACGCCATATTTTAGAGAGCAAATAACGAAACGCACTAAATAAGTTAAATATTTAAACAACATACCATGTTCTTCAGAAATCACCGTACTTACATATAACCACAACTCTGTACCGTCAACAAAGGCTGCGCACGTACTGTTCCTGTATATTTCCAGTTCTTCGTAGTAAAAATATCCATTTCGGGCTGCACATCGAACACAATCATCTTGGCGTTTCAGTTGCAACGTACATATTTTACGGGGTTGCTTTTTTACCCATAACATTAACCAACCCTCCTCCTTTTTCATCCGGGCTTGGGACCGGCAACGGCGGAGTTAGAAACGAACACCAAGGACATTGATAAGTGTTCATTATTTATAACAGTATGGAGGCTTCTAAATTATCTTCAAACAACAGGATGCAGGAGCTTACACGTAGTGTTGTATATCATCTTGTAAGTTAATAGAAAATGTTCACAGAGACTGTAGCCCATCTTGAAGCAGCAACGCGAAGTGAGGTAATCAGTATAAAACGTTCACCGTAGATCATCTTGAAACAGCACGACGAAGGGAAAATGATCACTTGTAAATCATTTCGAAAGCAGGACGAAGGAAAGGGAAATGCTCACTTCACTAAAAAATAACCTTGCCACTAGTGTTGTATATCATATTGAAACAGCAACGCGGAGTCCGTAAGGTACAATAAGTAGAAAATGTTCACTGTAGACCATCTTGGAACAGCAACGCGAAGTATTAAGGCATAGTAAGTAGAAAATGTTCACTGTAGACCATCTTCAAAGAGCTACGCGAGGTATTAAGGTATAATAAGTAGAAAATGTTCACTGTAGACCATCTTGGAACAGCAACGCGAAGTATTAAGGTATAATAAGTAGAAAATGTTCACTGTAGACCATCTTGGAACAGCAACGCGAAGTATTAAGGTACAATAAGTAGAAAATGTTCACTGTAGACCATCTTGGAACAGCAACGCGAAGTATTAAGGTATAATAAGTAGAAAATGTTCACTGTAGACCATCTTGGAACAGCAACGCGAAGTATTAAGGCATAGTAAGTAGAAAATGTTCACTGTAGACCATCTTCAAAGAGCTACGCGAGGTATTAAGGTATAATAAGTAGAAAATGTTCACTGTAGACTATCTTGGAACAGCAACGCGAAGTCAGTAAGGTATAATAAGTAGACAATATTCACTGTAGACTATCTTGAAGACAAGTAGGTCTGGTTACTTGAAGGCAAAAATGACTAATGTTTATGGTCAATTCATTAGTTATCCGCGCTGTAGAGGAAAAGGTTGTTAACGTCAACGGTAAATGCCAATAAAAACTTAATCCATAGTCAATAGAATGGGATTGTTGAGAAACTCGATGCAGATATAATAGACCTCATTATCCTAACTAACCATCTTGTTCTTTTGACTATGCTTAATCGTTGATCGCTGGCGTTTCATCTGCTTCATCACGATCGCTGTTTAAAATATCCACCAACACCATTCGTCTTGGATGTTTGAGTGCAAAACGATCGATTATTTTCTCGACGTCAAGGTGAATTTCCCGATGAACGTTCAATAGTGCGAGTGACGTTAATCTTTTTTCTCCCATTGTGCTTCTCATAAAGGTTTTCAATCGACGAAGGGTTGAAATAGATCTCTCACAGCTGCACGTTGTTACTGGAATTGTTCCAAATATTTTGAGCGCGGTGTGTATGTTTGGAAAAGAAAGAATATCGACAAAAGGGAGCAACTCTTGAATGGAATTCGGAAGCGGAATCTTGGAGTTGAAACAGAAGAGTTTCCACATTCTTAACTCCATTTCGAGAAAGTCGGGTGATGGTAGGTCATCTTGGTATTTATCCAGAAAACGAGAAAAATATTCGGCCCATTTGGGTTCACTGGTGACGTAACTTGGCAAAGCATACATGGCGTCAAATGCATCGAGATTTCCTTCTGAAAAGCGGGATTGCATCTGTCCTACAAGCTGATCTAGGAAAGGAATCGTCAAAGCTCTTTTAAAGTATTCGGCCGTGCTGTCCGCAGGTACGTTGATTCGGTGCATCTGACGGTCATTTGTTCTCTTCTTAAAAGGTTTCACTCCTCCTCCTTCCGCTAGTTCAACTGCCATTTCGTAATAAAATTGATGGACTTTGTCGACGTCCGAACGAAGTTCGTCAATCGTCAAGTAGAGTAGAGAAACTTTTTCACGAGCTTTACCAGCATCAAGAGAAGCAGACTGCAGTTGCAAGGTTAATGGCTTGGTGCATTTGAGGCAACGCTCGACGACGACAAGAGAAACGATAAACTGAAATGACTTAATGGCTTTGATCATACCACCCGCTTTGTAGCACGTATCATACTCATTTGACTTGTCAGTTCTCACCACCTCTAGTGCTGCTAAGATAGCCAAGTAAACTTTCCGAAAGATTGAGAGGCCATTAATTCTTGCCATCCATCTTGTACGGCAAACATTGAAAAGCTTCTCGTGATGGGATTCTGGGTAGATTTCTTTAATCTTCTCTTTTAACGCGATAGTTCTTTTAGGAGAATTATTAAAGAAGTCAGACACTGAACGGACATCATCCATCATTTTACTGACCATCTCAATTCTACAGGCGGATGCAACACACAGATTTAAGATGTGTGAACCACAATGCACGTATACTGCTTTCTCGTAGCTCCGTAGGATTCGGGCAGCAACCCCAGAAAATTTGCCTGCCATATTTCCCGCCCCATCGTAGCCCTGACCACGACATTCTTCCAAACGTAGGCCGACGCTCTGAATGAAACTTTTTATCTCAGTAGACAGAGCTTCACCCGAAAGACCTTTCATGCACGGAATAAAACCGAGGAATTCTTCCCTCACTTTGAAATTGTTGTCCACGAATCGCAAAACAATCGCCATTTGTTCCACGTTAGAACAATCAG